GCCCGATGATGAAAGGGAAAGGGGCCCCTTCATCTCCCGGCTCCCAGGCCCGAGCTTTTGTTGGGGAAAAATACAAACGGCCCTCTCCAGCCCCCCACCTCCCAGACAGAAGTGCGAGCGTGGCTTGGAGGAACCCCGAAGGCTCCTCGATGGCTCTTGCGCTCGGTTCTCTAGCTCCCCATCTCGAAGTTGCGAGCTTTGGACAGGGAAGTCGGGCGCCACCATTGTCGCGGCCGTTCAGGGGCAGGGAGGCGGCTGCCGCTACTTATGTAAGTTCGGCTTTGCTGGAGCTCCTGCTCCCTGCTCCGTCAGGGCGCCTGGGCGCGCCAGCGATTTGGAGAACCTGCATTAAAGGGCAGCTTTGTTCGGGAGGAGCAGTTAGGGCTACAGGGCTCACCACCTGCACCGACTGGCAATGGGTATCTTCCAGTTTGACTCACCTGAACTTAGCCATTGGAACATCTCAATAGAAAAAGGTGGTCGGGAGGGAGGGGGTGGGGAGGGAGGAAGGAAGAAGGCCAAATAACACCCTAGCCAAAAATAAAAAGGGGGGGGGGCATCAGCACACTGATGTGTGTGGCCACTCCTCTCCCTACCTAGTCCTTGCCCTTTTATCCCACAAGCCCCAGAATAGTTACAGGCAGCGGTAGGGAGTGTGACCTGGTAGGAAGTTTGGCCTGGCCACTTGCTTCTGGGGGTGACTACAGGCCAGGTTCCATGTGAGGAACAAGGTGAGAAGCATCCCTAGAACTAATTGTGCCCAGCCCGCACGCACACTGATTGTTGGCTCTTCTGTAGAGGGAACTTTGTGATAGTTTTCAGGACTTGAGTCTCTTGGTTTGCGTCTTGCACCACAGTTTTGGGGTCAGACTATTGCAACCCATTCCCTTGGTCTTACCACGTTGAAGTCTGTGTGATCACTGTTCGGTAGAAGAAACTTTTTATATTTTTCAGGACATTGGTCTGCAGGATGGAGTCCCTCTGGTAAGAGTTCAAATTAAAAAGCTAGAATTCTGCACTACCTGGTTTGGCTTAGTGGATAGAGCATCGGCCTGCGGACTGAAAGGTCCCGGGTTCGATTCCAGTCAAGGCACATGTCCAGGTTGCAGGCTCAGTCCCCAGTAGGAGGTAGCCGATCAATGATTCTCTCTCATCATTGATGTTTCTCTATCTCCGTCTTCCTTCCTCTCTGAAATCAATAAAATACATATTTTAAAATAAAAAGCTGGACTTCTTTGAGCTTCTCTGTAGGGATACAGGTGAAAACACTGGGGTTTCTCAAATGCAGGCTTAAAGACCAGTGTAGCTTAAATTATGTGTGCTACATTGTACAGAAGTGTGGGAAGAAGAAACCAGCTACTGTTCCCTCTCTTCCAGTGTTAACTGTTGGGTATATGAGCTTCTGTAACTTTCTCTGTATTTACAAATACATATACATATATATATATATACTCTCTATATGAGCCTAGAGAAAAATGTGGAGGGCCACATACTTAGCAGGAAATGGTGGGGGGGAAGGGGCACTTTCTGGCTTTTTCTGATAATCTGTATAGCTATCACTATAAATGGTCTCTGTGAGGAGAAATTCTTTAGTGGCTTTCCAACGCATACTCTGCGCACAGCCCCTCCACACTCCAAGTGCTGCAGCCCTTCCCTGTTCTTCAAGTCTGCTCAGAGCCGGACCTGATGCTGCCAGCCACCCTCCTCTCTGTTCCCAACCTGAAAATGGGTACATGTGCAAGTGGCAGGATAAGAAAGGAAAGTTTATTTTTAAAAACCATTCTTATTTAGAATTTGGGGTAGAGGAAGACTCTATCTTATTCTTGTGTGTCCTTTTCTCTTACAGGACTGGCACACCCCTGATCAGTTATTCTGATCTGAAGAATTTGGTGTTTCAAGCATTAAGACAATAGTCTGAGTTGTTCATGGTAACTATAACTTTGGATATTAAATCTTGAAAATATGGTTTGGTATTTGCTTTAAGAAATATATACACGTGTGTGTGTTTGCACTTCTCTTTCTCCCCCCCATTTATACTTGCGGAATGAAAGGCAAACAATATTTTTAAAAGAAAACATAGAATCCATTATTAAAAGGTCACTTTCTGTGACATTATGACAAATGTCTTTTGTGCCAGTTTTAAATTCCTTTTGCTTATAAAATACCTGTAGCACTTATCAAGTACATCCATCTTGATGATGTTTTTGTCTGGATGGCAGATAGATTGGCATCTAGAGGGAATGAAACTGCTCATCTTTGAGGGTCGTATTAAACCTTAACCCTCATTCAGAAGTGGCCCAAAACTGGTGTGGAAAAGCTAGAAGATAACACCAAATGGAATATTTTTGGCAATATTCCAATATTCCAACTTTCTAGTTCTGCTACAGTGACTTGTCAGTTCTCTCTAGGAAGTAGAACATTGAACGCTGTTAGTTATTTTACTAAATCTTTCTCTGAAATTAGACTAGATACAACATACATGACTGATGGATGCTTGCCTCAGAACTATTTTCAAACCTTGAAACTGAGTTATTTGCCTTTATTAACTCTACTTGTCAGGAAGCACAGGTTTTGGAGCTAGATTGCCTGGATTTAAGTCCCAGCTCTCCACTAAATAACTACAATATTGGGCAGATTCCCAACATCATCTATGAAATGGAGATAGTAATACCTATCTCATAGTTTTATTTGATCTTCACGTTCGCAAAGAGGTGGAAAGCACATAGAACAATACCGGGCATGTATTAGTGCTCAGTAAAAGTTGGCTGTCATTATACCTAGGCAAATATTTAGTAAACTGAAGATAAATAGAAATAACAATTTGGAAGTCCCTAAGTTGGGATGTTTTTTTCCTACTCATACTCTTGAACCCCTCTTAATGACTTTCTGAAATTGTTAGGTACCAAAAATTGATTAGAAAATGAAAATCTACCTGTATTTTCTATGTGGAAAAATATTGTCATAATTATCAACTTTCTTTTTAAAAATTTTTTGTAGGAGTTTTTCATCAGTATGTCTGAAACCATTAAATATAATGACGATGATCATAAAACTCTGTTTCTGAAAACACTAAATGAACAGCGCCTGGAAGGGGAATTTTGTGATATTGCTATTGTGGTTGAAGATGTGAAATTCAGAGCACACAGATGTGTTCTTGCCGCCTGCAGCACCTACTTTAAAAAGCTTT